ATGAGTGCCCATTACTTCCAACTCAGTCAAATAAGTACACTTGGCATCAAAGTCATAGTTCTAGAATTGACAAAATTATCTTATCTTCCATCATACTTCGAGATACAAATTTCAAGAGATATGACCTACTTAGGTGCTTACCGAACATTTTGTTCGTGTTGATATTATGAATTCTCGCATGGTGGTGTATGATTGAACAGAACACAAAGGCTGCAAGGGGAGCCAACGAAGGTGTTGCTCTACCTTTCCAAGGAACCAGGTGACAGAGGATCATCTCACACAACGGTCGGAAATGTGAATGCTTTGATTAAGTCGTACTAGTACGTATAAACAGGAAGGCTGCAGATGAAGCGTCACCGAGCACAGCTTTGCAAGGTACGGTTGCTGTTTGCCGAATTATATTCTTTTCCACGTGCTGGAGTTCGGAAGTTTGATTGGTTATAATATGAATATATCCATGACGCGCCATGTGTCACACCTGAAACTCTAACTCAAATTGTCGTTGAGACATAGGCCGACTTGTTCAAATACAGTATTTTTGCATTGGCCAATCAAATCACTGGAAAACACATGGCGAAACTCAAACTCTAGCTCAACAGGTTTTTGAAAGAGCTCTATTGATTACTAGTACTACGTAGTAATTGAGTTTGGATTATCGTTTGTTTAAGACATTCCTCAGCGAGGGCAGATGCTACAACCACATGTTGTGGAACCGCTTCGCCAATTGTAACGCGCCTGCTCGACAGGGCGGTGTGTAATCAGCGGTTTTTACTTCGCTCAACGCTTCATACCTCGTGCTTCGACCGATCTTCTTCGAAGTTCGGTCCTCGTCTTTGTACGCAGCCCTTGTTATCCGGATTCCCCAGGGGAGGGACGGATAAATCCTTGCGGAAATAAGCCGGGGATTAGAGAGATTTCGCAAACGTCCCATTCCCCAATCCCATAACCTTTCATAAACTATTATTCTATGGGAAACCTCTTGAAGATAGTTATTCTTCCCACAGAATTAACCACGTGTACGGGTGATTCCTCCGTTCCCAGAAGTCGCAACTCCTGCCATGGCCCTCACCAAGAAGCAGCGCAACTGGACTTCGGAAGAGGATCTGGCACTTCTCGTCCAAGTCGCCGCGGACTTGCCGTTCGCAGGTCACCAAGGCTTGGCAAACGTTAGCGGACACCCTGGTCGCCTGCAATCACTTTGGGAGGCTCATCGACGGCTGCAAGGTACAGAATCGATTTACTGCTCTGGTGGAAGAGTACCACCGATTTGATGCTGCATCGTCAAAGCTGTCGGGAGTTGATGAAAAGAAGAACGAAAGTCATGTTCTGCTGGATTACCCGTACTTCCTCTGCTCCACATTACTTGTTCGATATCACTTGTCGCTGTCCCCGAAAATTCGTATCAAAACCAATTTCGCTGCAGGATATCTTTAAAGAGCATTTAAAACTGTAGGAACCATCTATTGGCTGTCAAGCGCATAACCAACGATTTTGCGCTCAAAATCGACATCAAATCTCGACCAGCCGAATAAAATTACATACTATACTCAAACCAAATCAAGTTTGAATTTGCCGCCATGGAGAATCAACCCCAACGAACCAGCCGAGAACTCACAGGGCGTGACGAGACACGATTGATCCAGCTCCTTCGTCCCTTCCTGAAAAAGGACAAGCTTCAGCGTGGTGCATTCAAACACGTGGCCGAGATAATGCAGATCCACCCACGGACAGTCTCGTACATTTGGCTCAAGTTCCGCGACACGGGATCCACGACGTCCAACAAGGTCGGCAAGGTTGGGCCGAAGCCAACATACTCCAAGCAACTCGTCCAGCAACTCGTCGAGGAAGTACACGTCGATCAGCGCTCAACCCTCCGTGACGTCGCCGCTGGCTCGGGCCTCACGATGGGAACACTCAGTCGTCACCTCAAGAACGGAACGTTTGAACGGCGCTCGACTCGCATCAAGCCGCTCCTCTCGGATGTCAACAAGGCTGAACGCGTCGCATTTTGACAACCTATGGGATGTTGTCCATTTAGACGAAAAATGGTTCAATGCCGACAAGGATCGACGGAAGGTGTACCTGGTTCCTGGCGAGAAGCCCCCGCGACGTGCCTGGAAGAGCAAGCGCTTTGTCCCCAAAGTGATGTTCCTGGCGGCCGTCGCACGCCCACGCTACGACGAGGTCGGCGGCGTTCAATCGCAAGATCGGCATGTGGCCGTTTGTTCGTTTTGTGCCTGTCATCCGCAACTCGCGCAACCCACCGGCTGGTACTATGGTGACGTCCCTGGTCAATGTTGATGGTGTCGTGTACCGCGACTACGTACTCAACAAGGTGATCCCTGCCATCAAGGCTTCGTTCCCCAGTGCGAACAAGCGTGTGGTACTGCAACATGACAATGCAACGCCACATGGGGCGATCACGGACTCGGAGCTGGCGGCCGTGTCGACGGACGGTTGGACCTTCGTGATGCGTCGGCAGCCGCCAAACAGCCCTGATCTGAATGTTTTGGATCTAGGCTTTTTCGCCTCGATTCAGAGCCTGCAGTACAAGAAGATGAGCCGCTCTGTCGATGACGTGGTCCGCAACACCATGGAGGCATTCGATGAACTTAATCACGAGAAGTTGGACAATGTGTTTCTGACCTTTCAGGCAGTGATGCGTTTGATTCTCGAGCACTCGGGTTGCAATGGTTATGCGTTGCCCCACCTGAAGAAGGAGTCATTGAGACGCGCTGGTCTCCTGATGTCCAATGTGTCGTGTCCTGTGTCGCTGCTTCTGTAGACTAGTCATTAATGACCAATCGAATCATTGTATTCCTGAATCAGCCAATAGTATCCATATGTGATCAGTAATGTGGAAAAAGTGTGAATTTCATATCGAACAAGTAATGTGGAGCAGAGGAAGTATCTCTTACCGTTATTGGATGATGGCAAGAGCAATGCGGTCAAAAGGTCGAGCGCAGTGGGCGAAAAAGAAAAGGTCGAAAAAGGTGGCCACATAGTGAGAGTAATGGCCGTGCAGACCAAGAAGCGTCGCAACGATCATGTCGAAGGAGAGAATTTAAAAAAAAGGTGGTGGTCGATAACAGTCGCAGTAGCTTGGCCGCAGCAATCGAGTCGGAAGGCGAGCGGGAGTTGGCGAATAGGGAAAAGGAGCTTGAGTTCAAGCGATTCAAGTTCGATTCGGAACTAAAGCAGCACGAGTACGACCGCGAAGATCGGCGGGCTGAACGAGAAGATCAACTAGCCCTAGCACGAATTGAAAGCGAAAAATGTCAAGCCTTATGAAGGCAGCCCTTGAAAGCAGAAAGTAGACACTGTAATTCGTCATAATGTATATTAATTAATGCATCTCATTGTTCTAATGACAAGTACTCTTTCAATGTCGGAGGGATCATGTCGAAGTAGGTCGACATGATTCACCGTAGCAGCAGCAATTACAATTCGTCAGCAACATGGCAACCAGGACAACCGTTCCCACGTTGGATAGCATGATCTTTTGTTGATTTTTGAAGGTGAAAAAACCCCATAGCGTTTTCATCCGGTCAAAATTCCACTCTACGGCTTTACGCGCACTACTCATGGAGGCGTTGATGAGCATTTTGGATTCGTCCAAATTGTTTCCTTTGAAGCCGGAGATAATCCACTTTGAAATTGGGTAAGCAGGATCGCCGTAGATGTAGTAACCTCCAAAAACGTCACAGTTAGCCTCCAAGTACTCTTGCAATTGACTAACATGGAGCAAGGTAACGTCATGCCGGCTACCTTCCAAACTCCGTAGAAATGGATGCACAATCCATCCAGGGCCGTCAATCCGTCTAAATTGAGACAGTGTTTGCGCTTGTGTCCTGAGTAAATTCGTTTATGCAAGTTCATGCCTGCAACACCGTTGGCAGTTGCGCTGATTCGACAGGACTCAATTTTCGTACCATCGGGAAACGCCCACACAGACGATAAAGGTGCTCCCTTGTTGGCAACAGCACGGGCGTAGAGGGCGATGCGTGAACGGACAACCTTCCGGTTACAGTAGATAACGCCCTTCCACTGGCTGTATAACAAAACAACCATGTGATTAAATACGGGACAAAGCTGCTCACGCGAGCGTCCAAACGTTACCACCATGTCGTAAAATGTAACTGAGTATCTTAGTCGCCTGAGCAGAATACACAACGCTTCCACTCCACACACACGGTCGCGGCCACTGGTGATCACAACGTTTGGCACCCCAAGCAAAAAGGCCAGTTCCAGGATCCCACGAACGTCAAAACGGAAGGACATCTGCGCATCGACATTGGGAATGAGCGGTCGTTCAACAGGGATCCCAAGGCCGAACTCAAACAGTAGCATGGTTTTAGCAGATCAGATCTTTTTGCGTTTAGCCCAGCGGTACACACGCATCGCAAGGCGGACCTCTTCCGTCGTCATGCCTGATGAAATGCAAATGAGAAACATGGCTTTGGAGTTCTAAAAAAACATTTTGCGAAACGACTAATTCATGTCTCCCATTCCACTTCCCACGCAGCCATAATTTTCAATGGGAATGGGAAAAAGACGAATTGCGAAACCTCTCTATTGTTGGTAGGTGGAATAGTAGTACACGTAGTAGACGTCATTGTCCTATACTGCGTTTTTAATTAGTTGTACATTTTTGTATGGGTGTAGGTACTACTGTATTATACTACCGTATTTTACGACTCAATGTTGAGTGTGGTACACCGTTTGGCAACCTCTAAAATTTTGATTTGCTCCATTCGTGATCCCTCCAGATATGCATACCCTTTTATATATTATATCATGTAGACGCGAGATATTTGAAAATGACAATTTGAACGAAGAATCTGAAACACCACACCAATCACAGAAAAATTGACGACATGCCTCGACCCACGCGGCGCAAGCCCAAAGAGTACAAATACTCGAGGTACACGTATGAGCAGAAGCATGTCATGCAATACCGGGACTCCCACATGTCATGCAATACCGGGACTCCCACATTCAGGCTCCATTTCGTCCGAATCGGTTTTTCTCGATTCAAAACGCATACAAATCGCGAAAACACATACTCCCGACAACACATTCGAATTTCCAATCGAAGTTAAAAACGTCGGAACAGAAACTGGCGATCGCAACGGAGTACCACACTCAACATTGAGTCGTAAAGTACGGTAGTACTACCTAGGTAGTAGTTTGGCTACTGTACATTATGACAAAGTGAATCATCATTAAATAAATCGATATTTATCTCTCAAATGACTGTTAAATTATATTAGCAGACTGACCAAATCCTCCATGACCGACCGAGTTGTGGAAGAATAAACTGTACTATTAAAAGTATGATATGAGTACTGATTTCCCTCACGGTTTAAAATGTCCAAGTTTCAACGATTTGCACAGTATATTAAGTTTTGCGGTTGTAAATTTGTTGGAATACAAATTTGACATGGCGGCCACGCCAGCTGCTTCTACGCCTGAACCTTGCACCACCATGGCCTCACCCAGTACCAGACCAAGGTTCCTTGTACAGGAGGGTGCGGGAAATGACCAAAACATCGAGCCTCAAATGAATTGGCAGCATACCAAGGAGCGCGATCGCACTAGCTCTTATCATACATACCTGATAGATACACTAGGGGCTGCGGACTTAACTGTTCGGTATTTTAATGGACTTGACATTGAATTGTAAGAAATTTTAAAAACCAATTAACATAATAATAAAACATTGCTTCAAATATGACTTGAAGTTAATCATAATTTATCATCACCTTTGATCGCTAACTTAGAAAGTACATGACTTTGACATCGAATATCTCTCTGATGGCTTGCCTACGAACGGTGTAATGAATGTAGATATTGCAAATTTAGTTGCAGGCTATCGTTTAAAGCTAGAAATATGACGATTGCAACTTTGTAGCGTGAGTGATGTGTCCTCAAGTAGCAAAAAAAAGCAAATATAACCTACTTTGTAAGTAAATATCTCGATGAATTTACCTCGTAGCGACCTCTATGATACGTCATTATGTAGAGATAATGCTTGTGAACACGCGAATGGGGTCTCGGGCTAGTCGGTTTACATTGGCTCATGTTGTGTGGCTTTGAAAGTGGCTGTCTCAAATATAACATTCAAGTTGATCAACTTTGTTAATTATCTTCCAAAGATAACATCAAATAACACCGTTTTGTTGTGTTGTTTTAAAAAATTATATTCACGCCATGATAACAATAGAGAGATTTCGCAACTCGTGACTTTGGCGTTCGCGCTCGAGTTCCAGCTGGAACGCGAAACGGAGCGCTAAAATTAGTTTTGTTGTTCCGCAACTTCTCTTTGGCGCACAAGTCATCTGTTTTGGTGCAAGCAAAATGAACCCCAACGACCAACTTGCTCTGCGTGTGTACAAGTGGGCGAAGCGTAAAAACTTCAGCTATGCCACACGGGTCCTCCTCTTGGAGTATGGACTTGGAATCCCTGTCGAGCGGCCTCTCATTCCGGACATCCGAACATGCGAGATGCAGATGCGCTGCTCTCCTATCGATTTGATGTTCGTGGTGTTGTTGAGCTGACGGACTTGCTCGGGATCCCAAATGTTGTGATCACAAGTGCTCGTGACCGTGTTGTTGGTGTTTCAAGTCGGATTCAAATTTGAACCGCTGAAATTCTAACTCCTTTTCACGCGTCGCCCGCTCGCGTTCGCTTTCGATTTCAATCGCTGACGCCAAACTTGTGCGGCGGCTCTCAACAGGAGGTTTCTTCTTCGAGCTTTCGCCGTCGGGGGCCTTGTCCGAACGGCGCTTCATGGTTTGCATGGCCAATTCACGAATAATCAATCCGTCTTGTTCAATTTTGTCCTTGTCTGCCGCGGCATTGGACTTGTCGGCAGTGGCATTGGACTTGTCAGTTGTTGCAGTAGCCTTGATGTCATCGAGGAGGCACACTATGTCATCAAGCAGCATGTGCTTGCCCTGCTCTTCTTGATCGGAGCCAGAAAGCTTGGCCGAAGCAACAGCAAAGCGTCGATGTTCATCCACGAGAATCGTGAAGCGATTCAACAGTTTGCGTGCATCTACCACGCGGGTGAACTGCTCACTCTCCATTAGCGTTTCGGCCTGAGTCTGCCAGGCCTTTGCCACCTGGCCTTTCTCGGCAGCGAATGGTTTGTCGTTGGCGACTTGAATCAGCAACATGATGTCTTCGTCATAGGACCAATTGCGTCGCTTGTCTGCTTGGGACATGGCTTTATACTCTGAACGCCAACGGAAGAGTCACCCGTACAATTGAACAATTCTACGCGAAGAACAACAAAGTTTCACAGGGCTTGGCGTTCACGAATCAGTATTTAGTGGTTGCGGGAACGCCAACGCCAAAGTCGGAGTTGCGAAATCTCTCTAATAATGAAACGGTTTCTTGTTTCGAAGAAAGGTGCGCTTCCATGGAAGTTTGACGACCAAATCACCACAGAAGATCCGGCGACGAAGGTTTCTGTCAACCAGGTGAAGTAAGAACTAGTCCGATCGTGTAGCATTGCGGTTATAGGCATCAGGTCCATCGAGTTCGTTGTAATATGACCATTTCCGGCAGCCTCCAGTACTGTACTGTTTCTGGCTTGTTGTGCCGGAAAATTAGGCCTTAACGTTAAACGTTGGAGAAGAAATTTGCATGAGGATTCGTCCATGTGGCCGTTTAGAAACATTAACGATGCTAAGAGCATCTGCAACGGTGCTTTTATTTCTATTTCAATTCGAAGTTACGGATATAGAATAGAAACTCTCGCACCATCAGGAGGGTTT